ACTACTAGTAAGGCCCTTTGCTCCTAGTAGCGATGCACTTGTTCCTAGTAGCTTCTTGTTACTACTAGTAAGGCCCTTTGCTCCTAGTAGCGATGCACTTGTTCCTACCAGCTTGGAAAGAAGGCAAGTCTTCACCTTGCGTCCTTCGGGATCCGTGTCTGCTCAGCGCTCCTAGTCGTGCGTCCGATCGCTCCGTTCGTAGCGATGCCCTTTGCTCCGAGTAGCGTCCTCTTGTTCCTACTAGTACGGCCAGGAGCCCCTAGTAGCGTCCTTTGCTCCTAGTAAATCGCATATGTTGCATATGATCATGTTTGTATAGTTGCATCAAGCAGGAGCTGTATCGTCTTTCTCCCAGGAAGGTGCGAGCTGCGTTTCTTCCTGTGCTACGGGGGCGTGGCCCTTGTAGAAAGCTTAGAATGGTAGTAGATGTGGCTGGTTCAAGAAGCGGTGGTTATTTTTTCGTTGCTGGATAGCCGAACTGGTTGGCCAGAGGTGGTAGATTCGTGCACGAATCTGGTAAAGCTCAGCGTTTCTTGACCTCGAATGGCATTTGTCACATGGATACTTTCTTGGGGCTGTCATATCCACCATGTCACTAGAGTACCAGTTCGACCTGAGCCGAATGATGTGCTCCGACTGCCACATTCATCGAACGGTTTGTCTTCTGCACAAATGAGGTTGGAATTGGTTCCGGAGCGCTTCATGCATCGTTGGATGCAGTAGCGCAAGCTGGAGATGAGCTCCCCATGCTGCAGCTTGGAGCAAGTGGATGTTCATTTCTGATTCTGGAGACCGCTGCTACTGACTAAAAGGAAACATATTAGAAATAATGAAAAATAGAACAGAGAGAAAAAGGTTTAAAGTTCAATTTTTTTCTATTTGTTTGTGTGTTGTTTTCTGATTCTGGAGACCGCTACGATCGTGACTACTAGCACTAGGGAACATAGAGGACAGAGGACTTGGTGGTGCTCTTCAATCATGTCAGATATAAGTTTGAGTATTGAGTTTCCCCAAAAATCTAGGAACCAAATCATTAGTGCGAGCGCTTCCTTGAAGAAGCGTGAGCTATCCTGCGTCCTGGGTAGTAGCTGGCAGCTGAAGTAAGCTAGCAGCTACCCTCTTCTAATGGCTACCTCTCGCGGCCTACCCCCCCGGAGGGGCAAATTCCAAAAAACGCTAGTAGGAACAAGTGCCTTACTAGTAGTAACAAGAAGCTACTAGAAACAAGTGCCTTACTTCTAGTAACAAGTGCCTTACTAGTAGTAACAAGAAGCTACTAGGGGCTCCTGGCATCGCTACTAGGAGCAAGGACGCTATGAACGGGGCTACTAGGGGCTTCCTCTTTGTGTGGAGTCCAAATGAAGCTGAGGTATGCCGGCGCCCAAGGTACTTGCGACGTGACAATACACTTCTTCTTGGTCGCCATAGTACAATCCAAGCGAGCAAATTGCGATGGCCTCCAACCAATTTTAATTAGATTCTAATTATATTTATTGTTTCTAATAGCTGCTTGTTACTACTAGTAAGGCCCTTGTTCCTAGTAGCGATGCACTTGTTCCTAGTAGCTTATTAATTCTAATTATATATTGTTTCTACTAGCTTCTTGTTCCTAGTAGTAAAGCCCTTGTTCCTAGTAGCGACCCCTAGTAGCGTCTTTGCTCCTACTTTTTATTTAGTTGTTCTATTTTTTTCAAAGATTACCAGTTTGGTTGCTTTGTGGAAACAAGAAGGGCCACTGACCCAGTTGGACCTTAGGCCAGTGCTATGCTAGCATACTGCTGTGCAGACTTCTTCTTAACAAAGCGAGGTGCAGAGCCCTGCGTTGTTGAAAACAGTATGAAAGGTTGCTTTCACGCAGAGCCAAAGGCTGGGGCCGCGCTGCAGCGTGGTTACCCTGGATCACAGCATTCATTACAGCAGGGAACACTGTCCTGCATCTGGGATGCAAAGACAACCTTAAGACTGCTCAAAATCAATTTCAAAAGAATGCAGTCCAATCTGTAAAAAGCTCATAGTCTTCAGGTATGGCCTTACTAGTAGTAACAAGAAGCTAGTAGTAACAGGTGCCTTACTAGTAGTAACAAGAAGCTATTAGTAACAAGTGCCACGCTAGTAGTAACAGGTGCCTTACTAGTAGTAACAAGAAGCTTCAGGTATGTTGCTTCTCGAGATGATTTTGGCATTTTTGCCGCCACCTTTGCAGCCTACGTCTCCGTCCCCGTGCTCTACTTCAGTATCTTGCTTGAAGAAGTTGCCAACTGCTTGCAGCACTTTGTGCCGGCATTGTGTTTTTGAGCTTTGTACAGTTTGTGGCTTTTGTGTTTTTTGTTTTTGAGTTTTAAGGTTGCTACTGCTTGTGGCTTGGCTCCAATGATGCGGGGTGTTCTGGTGACATGGCTCTGTTGGCTTGCGCATTTTTCCTCTCACGAACGTGACGTGTGACGTCATTGGTGACATGACCAGAAAGAATTGATATATTTGGATAAGCCTCATAGCGAGGGCCTCCAACCTAGAAGCGGTGGCCTCCAACCTAATATTTGGATAAACCAAGTTCTCAGGCAATGGACGTCGGCCATTTCCAACGACGCCATCGAAGGCCCTATCCGCTACCAGGCCACATGGACATGTTGCGAAAGGCCAAACTCATGGGTATTTGCAAGTTTGGCGTGCTTTTCATAGTCTTTCCGTTTCTATTTGGTTGGAGGCCATCGCTACTAGGTTGGAGGCTCCCTGGTCTTTCCATTCGCAACTTCAGGTGATTAGACCTTTGAGTTTGGCCTTGGGGGCTAGCCTTGCAATGGGTGGCATGTGCTGGGCCATGGAGATGGGGATGTGCCTTGGAAGGGCAGAAAAAGAAGCTGGCATGAGCGGATGGCCTCCAACCCAATCAATGGCGATGGCCTGCAACCTAACAGTGGATGGGACGCTAAATGTGCAAAGATTTGGGCTGTGCCACGAGGAATGGAGAACAGCTAATGTTTTTTTTGGCTGTTGAGAAAGGCTTGTTCAAAGTGTGGAAGGCATTCCCTGGGCCCAGTTAGTGGCGTTGCGCCCGGTTCCGAAAGTAATAAGAGGCAGTCAAGTTCAAGACTTAAAAGGAGACACAACACAACAAATCAGATTGAAGGTCTAGAGGCAAAGAAAGAAATAAAGAAAGAAAGAAGTCAAGAAACAATAAAGAAAGACAGAACGATTTAGATACATTCATTTTTTATTTCTTTTGGACCTTTAGACCCTTCTTTCTTTGTTTTGTTTCCATTTTTCCAACCTAGTAGCGATGGCCTCCAACCATTTCTCTCTTTTCATTTCTTTTTTCATTTTTAGATTGTTTTAGAACTTTATTTCTTATGATCAATGGGAAGGGAAAACAGCACTCTGAGCAAGATGCCGTGAGGTGCTCTGCCGTGATTAATTGTGAACGCCTCAGCACTCAGAACTCTGAACACTCTTGGTGACTTGCTAAACGGCCTTGGGCCTCACAGGCCTGCCTACAACACCAGCTGAATATATATTAGGGTGGAGACCTCCTACCTCTACTTGGCTTTATCACTCCACGTTGGCACATGAAGAACAAATGACTTCGAGAGCAAATGCCTTCTAAAGCTAGCTTGGGGCCATCGCTATTAGGTTGGAAGCCATTGCTTCTAGGTTCGAGGCCATTGCTTTTAGGTTGAAGGCATTGCTTCTAAGTTGGAGGCGATCGCTAGTCGGTTGGAGGCCATCGCTAGTAGGTTGGAGGCCATTGCTTCTAGGTTGGATGCCCTTGCTATTAGGTATTTCTCTTCGTTTCTCTTTGTTTTTCTTCAGATCAGCGGCTTGGCGATGACTGGGCACCTTTTCTTTGGCGCTATGTGCACCTTGGCACAAACCGGTCTTGGGTAAAAGCTGATTTTCTGAGGCCAAGAAGGCCTTCAATGCCAAACAAAGAATGCCATTCGCTTTGGAGAAGAACGCAAGTCCATTCGTTTTGATTCTTTAACTCCTTTCCTTATTTTCTGTCTCTTTTTATTAGGTTGGAGGCCTTCGCTTCTAGGATGGAGGCCCTCGCTAGTAGGTTTACCTTGCCACTGAGAACAAGAAGGCTTTCTTTGAACTGTCTACGAACAGCAGTGCGAATCGACCTGGGAGGCTACACTCCCTTTGGCATGCTGGCACAGCCATGGCTGCAATGCTGATGTCTCTTGGATTGCATCCGATCCAACTGACCGGCCATGACTCTAAGAACAGGTGCCAGGCTAGTAGTAACAGGTGCCGTACTAGTAGTAACAAGAAGCTACTAAGAACATTCATCTAATTCTAATTTAATTCTAATAGCAAACATTGTTACTACTAGTAAGGCACTTGTTACTACTAGCGATGCACCTGTTACTAGTAGCATTCATCTACTCCACATTTGCACAGTTTGCCCACAGGCTATCTCCATGCCGGATGTTACAATAGCCTGTGGTCTCAGGCTTTGTGCTTTTCCTTTCTCATTGGATGAACTGGTTCAGCAAAATCGTGGCAATCTAGCTGCCCATCCATCCGGTTGTCGTTGGTGTGCAGGTGATTGTCAAGTGCTTAAGATTCGTCGTTCGGCGGGGTGGCGGATTTGAACAGTAGGAGCAAAGGGCATCAGCAAGGACGCTACTAGGGGCTCCTGGCCTTACTAGTAGGAACAAGAAGCTAGTAGGAGAGCACTCCTTCCTGGGTGTGATGGTAGGTTGAGCACCCGAGGGAGGTTTCTGAGAGTGTGCGCTTGGGTACTGGCTGGTTGGGTGCAGGTGTTGCTGGGAGGATGGAAGAGGAGCTGAAAGCTGTGAAAGCACCCCTTTTCCCTTTTTCATCATTTCATATGACATGATGGCATTGTTGTCAGCCTGACAGAAGCGCATGAGTTGTTATCGGTCATGCATAGAACAGTTCTGTTCTTCGGTTTGTCCTAAAGCAATATGTTTGTTGGTCGTCAAGCACCACTTGGGAGTTAAGCACCACTTGGGAGTTTGCCTGGTCTGGTCTGGATGAGCTCAGGATCCAAAATTTGCTTGTGGTGCGAGGCATGCAGATGGGCTGGGGCCACCCAAAGTTTCTTGGACTGATGGACTGAACGCTCGTTTCTTTATGTAAGTTTTGGTAGGTTGGAGGCCATCGCTATCAGGTGGGAGGCCTTGCTATCAGGTGG